AAGATCTCCAGTCTCGCCAAATCGCATAAAGTGATGAAGGACCGGAATATGAGTAGGCCTCACGTTTCCATACAATTTCTCTTAGCCTTGCCTCCCAAAAGGTATTCCCACCCCAGCTGAAGTGGACTGCAAATTCGACTCCACCTAAGCTGGTATGACTCATCCCCACTCCTGGACGGGCCTCTCAATGTTGGAAAAATTCAATTGTCGATAGACCTTCATCACTTTATCCGATCTAAGGTGACCGGAACTATTAGTTAAGCCGATCAACTTTCCGTTTTCAATAGCCCGTTTTCTTCTTCCTTCCGCCAACTCCACTTGTGCCTGTCTTTCTTTGTAGGGCATGCACATGAAGACCTGGCCTACAGAAAACCGTTATTCTCCTCCACAAGACCGGTGAATCATGTGCTGCCCAACACGATGAGCAAGTGTTTCCAGGTTCTTGGCTCGGACAGCTCTAACTGGCTGGCAGTGGACCTCATGGATCGTTTTCAGATAGACAGCATCGTCCTGCATGGTCACACGAATTTTTGGCTCGGTAAGTTGGGCCTATTGTGCTTCTGGTGGTATTTCAGCTGTTCGTTCAGAATCCGCCAATCACTCTCTACTCACGCTTCTACAAATGGCCTGTTCTGGGGCCAATGAACCATGCTCTGTGGGATACTTGATCAAGTCCGAAAGTGGCATTTTGATGATTCAGAATGCTCGCCAGAGAAACCCATTCAATGGCCTCTTTCACGGATTCTGGAATCTGGAACAGGTTGCATGAAGCGTAGATATGAAGACCAAGATATTGTGACCTCCATCTTGGTCGCAGCCTCACTTCGATGCATAGAAATGATCTGACCTCGTTTTCGCTAAGTGATCATGTTATCAGGGCGACCAAGTTGTCCGAGGTCCTCTATCTTGGTTGTTATGATAATTCCCAGCGTTGGACAATTGGTCCGACAAGATAAGAAACGAATCTGCTGGCCCATGAGGGAGATTCGGGTAGGAGATCAGAGAGGATGAGCAAATCGAGAGAGAGAGAGAGAGAGAGTATGGACAAGATAAACAGCAGGTGTACTAACGCCACACTAAACTCGACAAACCCACCACAGAATATGACAGGTAAAAGGACCTGTCCTTCCTTAAAATTCATATCTGCACTCGTGGAAGTAGTTGAAGAAAAGGCGATTCGAAAATAAGAAAGTCAGAAATTGTGATAGAGCGGATGTAAAATAAAACTGTATGGAGTGTGTAGGTGTGCCAGGACAGAAAGAGGAGGGATAGCACAACCGTTTTGGCGGAAAGTTGATCAAGGGATTGACTTGACTTGTTTCTCTGGCGAGTTGCAGCTTGGTGCTAGGACTAAAGACGCCGATTACGAGGCTGGTGAAACGTCTGAGAATGTACAAAGTTCACGGTCCGATTCTGAGAATTATGATAACTACTAGAAGAGAGGATTTCGGATAAGGAGCGCCCGAATAAATCGCCCTGACAATACGATTAAATTGACATAACGAAATTGGACCACATTTATCTAAGTTTCGCGGAGTTTCGCGGAGTTTCGCGGTATTTGCGAGGAGAATAAGTGTATGCACACTATGAGCTGTATTAGCCTTATTTCGTTTAAAGGTAACAAGGACTGATAGTTGAAGTTTCCCACAATCATATGAAGAGAGCTTGAGGCTCCGTTGAATTTCACAAGGCCTTGGTTCCCAAAATGTATTCTCACATAGACTGGGGTGGAATTCAGTTTCGACATCGCCTCAACTGGTCTCATCAGCACCATCAGCGGGACTCGAACCATGACATTGTAGCGTATAATCTTGATCCTTAACCCATACGCCACTTTGCCACGAGTGCCCTTGGGTCACAGGGAAGATGTGAATTTCAAGGAAGGTCACGCCTTTTCCAATATCACATTCTGTGATGAGATTGTCGATGTAGCAAATTTTTATTTACTACAGCAATCGACTACATTAATTATTTCTCGTTTTATTATTCGGTTTTTCAACATTACCGGTAGATATGATATAAGAGTTAATCAAAGACTGATAGTTGACGTTTTGCACAATGATGAAAATGCCTTTTGGGATGCAAGGATATGTGAAATCACCTGTAAACGTAAGACCTATTCATTTCATTGTGGGAAAATTCAACTATTAATCCTTGATTACTGTAGACGAAATAGGGTGAATACAGCTCTTATATCAGATCTGCTTGTAATCTCGAAAAACCTAATTATCCAACAAGAATGAGCTGTATTCACCAGAAATCTCTGCAAATCCCCCTTTATTGTCCTGAAATCAGTCTGCCCATGTGCACTTGAACGGCTTCAACCTGTTAGGGGCAAGCCAGATGTTAGCACCCATGCACACGACGCCTAATCCGAGTCGACACTTTCGTGAACCCAACATTTCCGCTTAGCTTTCTGGCCATTGTCTACTCTATTTCCGAACGTAAGAGTAAGGTTGGAGTGTGTGCGTTTTAGAACCATCTCACCGAAAGTCGCCAATGGCCAGCTGTGGTTAGATTGTACTTGTACATTCAGGCCAACGTAGTCGTCAGAACAAACTGTCATTCGTTTCCAATTAAAAAGTGTTGGACTTTCATCCCCCAGTTGACAGGCATCATTAGAGTCAAGTATCCTTCTTATACGAACTTCAAAACAGCATCGTGTCGTATAGATGCTTTTCTCCGAACCGAAAATGCCACATCCGGCAAACTAAAATAATGATGAGTTTGCTGCTGCAGAATGTCGGTCGAAAATAATACTTAACATGGTGCAAATCTATCCAATGTTATTGTGATGGCCCAGCAGTAGTATCATCTTGCCAACGGATCTAGTAGTCTAGGAAGCACGTTATCCGGACGCATCTTCTTTTAAAGTAGAATAGGTCATCCACTGGAATCTGGTGTGTAAGTTGTTAGACGAAAAAGAAGATCACACAAATGAAGGGAAATGAAAAATACTTGCATACTTTCGGCTCTACAGCAGATCTGGGCCCACGGTATGCGGTGTTGTGTGCACCTCACCACAATTTGTGGTGCTGTAGCTCGACGACCGCTTCTATCATATGCAGGAGACAATGTCTAGGCTTGCAGATGGTTGTGAACATCGGTTATATCGATCTCTTGTTGCGTCTGCACTGGTCGCTACCCCACAACCAGGGCACCGGAAGTAGGCCGGCTGAAAGCTCCGAAAAACATTTTGGCCATATGCCCTTTGTTTTTGCCAATATTTCGAGTGAAATAAATTAAATTTATCCTGCGACTGCATCTCCTTGCCTTCTGTCTTAGGCATCCGCTCATAGCATGTCTCCGAAATGTCCATATTGCATTCAAATGACGTCAATATCTCATTCACAAGCCGCACCTTACACCCTCTTCCGCTTTCGGGCACACATCTGATGCTTTATGATTTGACCCACATGACGTGGCACTGAGTGCTACTGTATCTGGAACCAGAATTTTAGAGAGTTTGTGGATTTTAGTGGGGCTTTCGTTTCACTACCAGACCCAATCGTGCATGAAGACCCAAGAGCAGATGCTATGCTGGCCAGAACAGATAAGACGAGGAGTAACTGGGTTTAGATGAATCCTCTGAGATAACAGTTGGGAAGACTTTCATTTCGTATGAAAGTGCATGAAGAAGAGATTCGCGGGTCGATCTTAACAGAAGATGATGGCTGAATCCCGTTGTGCTGCAGCCGTTTGGCTTTAATACGACCTTCAGGTTGACGCAGTATACGAGATCTTCTCCCTCGTTTCCATGGAAAACGGAATGAGATTACCTTCATCATACGAAGATAAGTAACATAGTCGATTGCCATAGCAAACATAGTTTTGCTTTATCGGCACTCCCACCAAAGAATATGATATAGCAAAGAGTCCTGACCTTCCTTGAAATTCACT